ATATGTACATGGGCTAATCCAGAGATATGAACAAATATATGTTAGTGGTATGATAAATGTTATATAAATGATATGATGTTGTGTGTGTATAGTGTTTGATTGAAAAGGGTTAACCATAAAAGTATGTGATTACATGATAAACTGTTAATGATGAATTATGTGTATGTATGTATTTACTGTAATTAATCTGATATGATTTTATATGATACGAAGAATGCATGGAATTGGTATAACATGATAGAACAGAACATGCATGTATTGATATATGTTATAAAGTACATTATAAGTTGTTATGCCTCACTAAGTATTCGACTTAGCGTGTGATTGTTTCACACGTAGGTTTCGAGAAGAGTAAAGAGTAATGCGGAGCAAGACAGGTCATTTTTCCTTACCAAATGTCAGATCAGAAAATATAGGTACTGTATATAGAGTGTAGTTGGCATGTAGTCTAAAGATATAAATTGTATGAACTCTGATATATTTTTGTAAACGTTTTGAATAAGTTAAATGTTATCAAAGTTTTTAAATTACTCACTATTTTATACGAATAAATGTTTGAAAAGTCAATGTGACACTTCGGACTCGTATCCGGGTCGGATACGGGTTGGGGGTGTTACAACCTTCATGATTCCTTTCCGTGTTTCAATCTTGCTTGCATTATTATCCAACAATCCGTAAGATAATAAATTTTTCTTCACGCCTTTCACGTGCCACACATCTCGAACAACTTTAATTGTTTCATCATACATCTTCAATTTGATGGTTCCCACGCCAACGATCTCTGAGGCATGATCATTGCAACTATGCACAGATTCTCAGGTTCATAATGATGGAACCATTCTTTTCTCAAGGTCATGTGATATGTTGCTCCTGAATCAATGAGTCATATATCTGCAAATCTCTTTCTACCTTCCACGGTGGTTGACGCTTCACAACATAGATCATCTCTATCATCTAAAGTGTTTGCGGTATTGCCTTGTGGTTTGGAGATTTTACCTAGACTCCAACAATCCTTCTTCAAGTGACCCTTCTATCCACAGTTGTAGCACTTTAAATTCTTCTTGCTTCTCGACTTTGATCTACTATGTTTGTGACTGCTACTTTGGTCACGTTCTGTTGATTTCCCTCTCATCGTTGTCAACGCTTCTGCTTATTGCATATTTATTTGTCTGTCTTCCTTATTCTTGCGCCAATTTTCTTCTTATAGAACAGCAGCTGCAACATCATTGAAGACTATACTTGTGACATTACTGTTTGTCAAGTTGATGATGAGTTGATCATACGAATCAGGTAGACTTTGAAGTAGAAGTTCAGCACGTTCTTGTTCTCCTATTGTACACCTTAAGGATGTAAGCTGAGAAAATAAAGTGTTCAACGTGTTTAAGTGCTCTGAAACTGAAGTATATTCTGGCATCCGGAGAGTGTACAATTTCCTCTTAAGGAAAATTTTATTGTGCAACGATGTGGCCTCGTACAGTTTTGTGAGATGATCCCATATCTCCTTAGCTGTCTTCCTCTCCTGGATGCTTAAAAATACTTCATCTGCTAATGCTAGATGAAAGTTTGACATAACATTCCCGTCCATTTCGTTCAATATGTTGTCATCTGTGAAATCTACCGTCTTTTCACTGATAGATGCTAGACAATCGTCTTTCCTCATGATGGCCTTCATCTTCAATTTCCACAATGAGAAATTTCTCCCATTGAACTTTTTAATATCAAATTTCGTTGCCATAGCTTCTATTACGGATAGCTCCCACTATTTCACTATCGTGAATAGTTCTATGAAACCTTCAAAAAATGGGTAATTACTTCTTACTTTCTTATGTTGGAGGATCCACCTTTTGGTGGCAACCACGAAGATAATAAGTAGATATTTCACACTCAAATCTGGCTCTGATACAAATTGTTGCGGAATACAACTATCGGATAGAGTAAAATCGCAACTGATAATTTGAGAGAATAAAATTGAAGATAGAGAAGACACAAATTTTATGTGGAAAACCCCTAAATAATATAGGGTAAAAACCATGGGCAAAGTTAGAAAAATTTCACTATGAGAAAATAGGAATTATAACTTCTCTCGATTTAACAAGAAGAAAACAATAACAATTCTCTCTTGATAAAAAGAAGAAAACAACTCTTAAGAAAACTCTCTAAATTCTCTAGTATTGAGAGAAAGTTAGAATGATTTGGGATGGTTTTGAAGCTAAACGGGTTAGGGTATTTATAGTTGAAGCTTAAGGACTAATCTTGTAAATATCCTAAAGTATAGGGACTAAATATATAATTTTACTATCCCATTTTTTCAACAATTTCAGTACAAATTATCAACCATTTGCACTGAAAGTTTGGCCAACAATTTCCACCAAAAGTTGTTTGACTTTTCAACAATAACCTTGAAGACAAGGCGAGAATTTAAAAATGTATGGCATAAAATAAAGCTGGACATAGGGGTGACCGTTTGATCGAGTCGAATTGAGTCAAAAAAATTTTGAGTTATTCGAGTTGATGAGTCATATTTTACAATTCGGAATTGACTTACAAATTTTTCATGTCGAGTCGAATTTTCAAGTTTGTGTTCAAATTTAATTATCTTGATTTTAATTTAAATGGGTTTTTATGATCATATACAATACATATACATAACAATACATTCTTGTGTGATTTTTGATAAAAAAATACAATAAATGTATATTTCTTTCATATGTGATATACATATATCATACAAAATTGATGGACTCGACTCAAATTTAAAGATTAGTCCATTAATTACTAAAAGTTTTGAGTTATTCGAGTTGTATTTTACAACTCAATTTTAACTTAAGAATAGTGAATTTGACAATTTTTATCTCCATGGCAAGTAATTCAATAGAAATCTTGAAAGCTGTCTAAAATTAATATGAAATCAACATATTCATGTCTCATTAAAATTACTAGAAAATAGAATACTTCAAAACAATAATCATTAATAAAGATAATTTATGTTTTTTAACATATCTTCATATGTAATATCCTAACTTGATAACCGACTTAATATCTTATAAATAAAGATAACCCTTGAGCAAACTCGTGTTGATAACGTGTTATTAAATAAACGAAAAGAAGCAATAATAGGAACAAGAAGAACAAGTGATATAAGAATAAAAGGGAGAATTATATTATTATCTCAATATGAGTTGTGTACAATATTTTCTCTGAACTCCATATTTATAAGCATTAAAGAGTAGATATTCATAACAAAAATGATTTTTATTATTAAAATTTTAATTTATTTTTTTGTGACATGAATTCTATATCACTAATATCGTTAATTGTTAATAAGATAACGTATCACATTCAATTAATGAATAGTGTTTTATTTAATTTTCGAAATCATGATTAAAAAATTTATTGAAATAAAGTTTAATATTTTTAAATAAAAATTTTAAAAATAAAAATATAAAAATGTTGAGCAATGATATTAAGCATTTAGGACTTGGCTTGCAGCCAAACGACCACTGAAAATTAAGAGAGCGATGCAGGAAACAAACGCATCGCAAAATCAGGGGGTGAACGACCCAAGCCAATTCACTTCTGCTGCTGTGCGTAACCCGAACGTTTGTTTTATTTTTTAATTAATATGTACAATACATTATTTGTTCAATCGTAAATCTCAACCTTTTGACACTAAACTTTCACACTTTTAGTACCTATGATACTCGAACTTAGGTCTTCAAGAAATAACAAACAATTCATTTATTATGGAGGTCACTTGCTTCTCCTTCATTATTCTATTGGCTTGCATCTATGATGCTCAAACTCGAGTCTTTAAGAAATAACAACTATTTTTTGAAATTATCGTGATATTATAACGATATCTATAATTCAAAGACAAATATTTAAAAAAAAATTACAACATAACGTCAATAACATCTACCATTATTACAGCACAACCACACCCACAACTATAATTTAATATTTTGCTCCACTGACCGACAAATCGAAAAAATGAAGGAGAAGCAAGGGCACATTTCTGGAAAATATTATCATAGCATGGCAGTAGGTTCCAAAATGCACACTACATACAAAATTTAACCTGAGAACAGGATTTAAAATACGATTGTAATCGTGTTTTCTGTTACGTTATATTTTATAATTTTTTATGATTATAAATATCACAAATGTTATTGATATGAGACACCATAAACCTAAAATTAAAATCACAAAGCCAACATATGATTCTGACAGCTGACTGATATATTATTATGTTCACTTTTAAACTCACCGAGTTTACCCCGGTCCACACCAACTCAGTGAGTCTACCCCAGGCATGATATATTAATGTAATAAAGGCAGGTTACCTAGGATGCTTCGACAGTCTCTCCAACTCTGTCTTGTCTCTTAAGGCTTTCCCCCTCCATGTCTTGTGTAGGTGACCACTTCCTGTCCACTCCATAAAGAAAAGACTTCTCAAAGCACCCTTTTTTTTCTAGGGAAAAGAGGATTTACCAATACTCCTTAGACCCTTCAACCACACCATTATTATAAATAATTCACACTTCTAGAATTGGGAGGAAAAAAAATCATTTTTACACCAATAATTATTATATTTATTTACATTCGGATTCTAATGTAAATGTCAGAAACAAATATATGCGAGGATCATATTTAATTAAATGTTAAATAAAAGTGTCTGATCTTTTAACAAAGAAGGGCCTTGAATCTGGAGAGGGAAATTGTCAATGGAGCAACTTAAGCAAATGGTATAGCTTTCCAAAAGAGGCCCATATAGACCCTCTTGCAATCCAAGCTTAAAAAGAATACAGTTGGAAAGCTGTACAAGGAAGAATTATTCATGGATTCATCTTACTTCTTAGCTAAAATTTGAATTAAAAAAAAACTGTACAGATGTCAAGTAAATAACATTTGATATGTGTCCTTCTCTCAAGAAAGAGGAGACAATTTGGTCATTTCATAATTTTTTTTTATATATAATTCTAGTATTTGTTTTGTGTTAAAGTAAGCTAGTTGGTTTCGTATCTTTAAAGCCAGCCTTGCATATAACGCACGTATGGCAGGGGAAAGAGAGCCATCACATTGTAAAGAAAAAAGAACAAACGAAAAAAGAGAATTGCAAGAAGAAAAAGAAGAGGGAGTTGAAGATGGCATCAATGGCAACATCAAAGCAGATATGGGAACAACAACAATCGCAGATGCAGCGCGTAAAGAACTCGGGAGTTATCGTTAGCAACGAAACTCCATTGAAGGATGACAAGCAAGAGGAAACGGCCAAATCTGCACTGGCATTGTTTCGAGCCAAAGAGGAAGAGATCGAGAGGAAGAAGATGGAGGTGAGGGACAAGGTCGAGACTTATATGGGGCGCGTTGAAGAAGCAACTCGACGCTTGGCTGACGTTAGAGAAGTAAGTTGAATTTCACCATAATGAAGCATCATATGGGGCATCATATAATTGTAATCTATAAACCAGATTCTTCCCGTTTAACTGCAATAGCATCAATGTTTGCTTCTATTGGATTAATAGTCATTGTCAACTGGTGAAATCTTCCAGGAGCTTGATGCCCTCATAGATCCAATGAGAAAGGATATTGCGTTTCTGCGCAAGAGGATAGACACCATCAACCGGGAGCTGAAACCACTGGGACAGAGCTGCCAGAAGAAGGTGCACATATCATGTTCATTGCTAATCACTAAACTGATAATCAAGTGGCAATAGAGTGCATAATTAGTAATCATTTTGAATGATTACATATAGTGACCTATCAATATCAACAAAACATTTGATTACGCAAAGTAAAAAAGCTTGTTAAAAGTGAAAAACTCACATTTACCATGCTGTGTGAATCACAGGAAAGAGAATACAAAGAAGCTCTTGAAGCCTTCAACGACAAGAATAAGGAGAAAACACAACTAGTTGGCAAGTTAATGGAGGTGAATGTTTTGTGCTCCGTAACTTCGGTTAAACCTTGTTTATTACAATAATTTTGCAAGTGACGTACTGCTAATTGTTTATGTGAAATTGGTGGTTAGCTGGTGAGTGAAAGCGAGAAGTTGAGGATGAAGAAGCTGGAGGAGCTGAGCAAAAGCATTGAAACCCTTGGTTAAAATCGGCGATGACTAAAACATGTGCTTTGCTTGCTGTAGTTTCACAACCAGTTTTCTGATTGTTTGATGTATTTTTATGGTTTAATTTCCACGTTTTTCACCTTCTTCTTCAATGGGAAGCGTTCTGATATATAGGAAAGTAGCCACTCAACCACTTACCAAACGTGCCAACCTTCATTCATATATATAAATGCTTCCCCAGCCTTCACAGTAGAGGAAATTGCTCCTTGTCTTCGTATATACAAATTCTTTATAAAATATTTACGTACGATGCATAAAATGTGTGTATTTTGTCAATAATTACGAAAAATTTTAAACAAATAATATCTTCTAATCACTCTAAATTATTAAAAAAATCCATAAATATAGAAACTAGGGGTGCTTATCGAGCAAGTCAATCTTGAGTTGGGCAGTGCTCGACTTGTGCTCATGAAAAAATTTTGTTGCTCGGCTTGACTCGTTGCTCGTTAAGCTCATGAAAATTTTGCTCAACTCATGCTCTTTAAAAAAATTTGTTGCTCAACTCATTTCTTATTAAACTCATTAAAATTTTGCTCGACTCATGCTCGTTAAGAAAATTTGTTACTCTACTCGTTGCTCGTTAATCTCATCGCTCGTCTCGTTGCTCGTTAATCTCATCGCTCGTCTCGTTGTTCGTTACGCTCACCGATTTTTTTTTTGGAACTATAAGTAGAATCTACTAATACTATATACAACTTAATATAAACATAAATTAATAAATTGAACACAAAAACTATCAACAGAGTGTATTAAACAAATTCAAAGTCTAAAAACCAAAATAACAATCTATAAATACATTAAAATAATAATTAGGATTTTTATTCTTGGTGTAATAAAACAATGATTATTAATTAATAATTTAGTATTTTTAATTATTTATTATAAAATTAATATATTAGTAATTTATCATCTTTTTTTTATTATCTATTAATGAATTAGTAATTTTTTAATGAAATACTTTTTTAAGATAACTACTAAAAAGTTATAAAAAAAATTAACGAGTTGCTCACAAATTTATCGAGTCGAGTTGGACTTTTCTCGACTTAGCTTGTTAAGGTCTCGAGTCGAGCTCGAGTTCGAATCAAATTAAATCGAATCAAATTTTTACCGAATTTTGAACAAATCGAGTTTGAGTTACGAGTTATTGCTCAACTCATTAATCATCCTAATAGATACTTTTAAAAATCAAATATAACGACGTCACATTCATACCAATATCCTATTTCCTAAACTTTACTCTAAGGGACGTTTGGTTCATGGAATGTAACATTACCTCTGGGAATAAGATTATCGGAATGTTACATTACCTTACACATTATTAGGAATGTTACATTATTGTGTTTGGTTTGTTTGACAGGAATGTATGATTACAGTATTTGGTTAAAGGAATAAAAGATTACGAAAATGCATATTTTACTAATTGTCCTTATGATATTTTTTTGACAAGTTGAATTCCAAATATTCAAATGAAAATATTTATATAAAAATTCATAGAAAATATATTATTGTATTATTTTCAATTTATATATATTTTTTATTAAATTTAAATTCATAAAATTTATATATTTTTTTATAAAATTTAAAAGATAAATGGGTAGATTAAAAGAATAAATATATCATATATCATATATTCTTTTAATCTTAATTAATATTTAAAAAGTTATGATAATAAATAAATAAAATGTATAATAGGTTTGGATAGTAAAACAAGGAAAAATATAGATGTGGTTTGGAAAAATAAATTTTAACAAATTTGTGAAAAGCAAAAGACTATAGCTTTTAAAATAAAAGAAAGGGTATTTTTGAAATAAATCTTTAGTTTTAAAAGTATTTTAGTCCAAGTTGAAAGGAAACAAAAAATACCTAAGCAAAACATGAGATTAGCATTGTTGCTAAAATGAGGAAAATTTTTACTATTAGGAATATTTTATTACTCCCCTATTGGGAATCTTTCCCATCCAAACGTGGGTATTACAATCTGGGAAAAAATATTCCCACCAGGAATCCTCAATTCTATGATCCAAACACTCCCTAATGGCAATGACACATACCGCATGAAACAGATAATAATAATAATATGGGTAAATTACAATATTTTCTCATTGAATTTTACTCTCTCCTATTTTAATCACTAAAACTTTTCAATTTAATCACTCAACTATCAATTATTCATGTTTTACTCACTCTGTCGTTAAATTGTTAATAGTGTTATAACATGCAACCAACACAAAAACGATATAATTATAGATCTTGTAGAAAATTAAATTTAGACCCAAACGACGTCGTTTTGGTCTAAATAAAGTTGCATTTTTATTTTCTTTTTCTTCATTTTTTCCCCTTTTCTTTTCTTCTACTTCTTCTTTCTTTCATTTCTTCTCCTCAACCTGAACAAACCTAGGTTCCGGTCACCTTGCCAATTGTCGTTCTGACCACCGCAAACCACCGTCGTTGGAAGTCAATGACTCCCAAAATTTCTCACCAAATGCATCTCACGACTCTAAACTCGAATCCAGTGTTCTTTTGACCGAAAATGCCCCAAAATCTACGGATCCAGCATTGATAACATTACCGTCGTACACTAACATGCTTCTCTAATCACCATTCGTGTCGATACAAATGTCGAATTGTTGAAGAATCGAGTAAAGTAAAATAAAAGAACACAATAATTTAACGAAGTTCAACCATGTGCTTACGTCCTCGGTGCCTAGACGGCACTAAAAGTTTTATTCAATGTCTCATTGGTTTAGGTTACATCTCTATTTATAATAAATAAATTCTGGTACATATTTACAAATATAACCTTGTACTGGTATATTCATGAGCCATACCTAACAAATCTCCACCTTGGCGAATATCCTATCCCTTAGGAAATATTTAATATGGGTTGGGTTATCTTACTTCTTTAACAACTCAAAACATTCAACAAGTCTAAGCAATGCTTGAACTTGCCTGTCGTAACTGGCTTAGTGAACATATTAGCGACATTCTCATCGGTATGTACCTTCTGAAATAAACTCTCTGATCTTGTGAAACCTTACATCAATATGCTTAGTTCTAGCACGATATACCTGATTCTTAGCCAAGTGAATAGTGCTTTGATTGTCGTAAAGCAACTGAACTCCACCTTGCATGAACAACCAATTCCTTCACTAAACCAGTAAGCCATAAAACTTCTTTTGCAGCTTCAGCCGCTGCCATGTATTCAGCTTCAGTTATAGATAGTGCCACCACAGATAGAATAATAGACTTCCAACAAATAGGCCCTCCACAAATAGTAAAGACATACTCTCTCGTAGATCTTCTATTATCTAAGTCACATGCATAGTCTGAATCCACATATCTTACAACCAAAGGATTATCCCGTTGACTGTAAAAAATAATTCCATGTCCCACAGTACCCTTTAAGTACCGAAAGATACACTTGAATGTTTCCCAATATTGCTTACCAGGTTTAGACATGTACTTACAAACTTGACTATAAATTAAGACGAGTACATACCATTGCATACATCAAGCAGCCAACAAAATTAGAATACGGAACCTTTGCCATATCTTCAGCTTCCTTATCTGTCTTAGGGCATTGTTCTGATGAGAGCTTAAAGTGATTCGCCAATGGAGTGCTAAGTGGTTTTGCGCTGCTCATCGCAAACCTTTCTAGCATTTTCTCAACATAACCCCGTTGAGATAGTCATAGTTTCCTTGAGTCTATGTCCCTGTAAATTTCCATTTCAAGAATTTTCTTTGCAGCATCTAAATATTTCATATCAAATTCCTGACTCAATAAAGTTTTCAAGCCGATAACATCATTCATGTTCTTCGCAGCAATTAACATATCATCAACATACAGTAATAGAAAAATAAAAGAACCATCATCAAGGCTCTTAACATAGACACAACAATCATACTCACATCGCTTGTAGCCAATCATGATCATATAGGAGTCAAACTGTTTGTACCATTGTCTCGGAGACTGTTTCAACCCATACAAAGATTTCTTCAATCTGCAAACTAAATGCTCGTTTCCAGGTTGAGTGAAAACTTCAGGCTGCCGCATGTAGATCTGCTCCTCTAAAACACCATGTAAAATAGAAATTTTCACATCCATCTGCTCTAAATGTAAATCCCAACTAGCCATCAATGCAAGTACTGCTCGAATTGAAGTGTGCCTGACCACAGGAGAAAAAATTTCATTATAATCAACTCATTTCTGCTGTGAAAAACCATTTGCTACCAAACGAGCCTTGAACTTCTCCCCCCTTTTTCTGTTACTGCTGGTTTCTTGTTATACACCTATTTGCAACCAATCAGATTCTTACCCTCAAGGAGGCAAACTAACTCCTATATACGATTGTGATTCAAAGACTCCATCTCCTCAACCATGGCAGTCATCCACTTGTCATTTTCCTGATTAGTAACTGCATCATGAAAAGTAATTGGATCATCATTGCTAACAGGAAGTGCAAAAGAGACCAAGTCTTCAAAACCCAATCTGTTCAGAGGCTTTATATTCGTCCGTATCACCCTGTCTCTGGCGAGAATATAATCCTGCAAATCATCCGTGGCGGAACCACCAGAAGTCGGATGAGAAGTTTCTATTTTCTCAACTGCAAACTGCTCGAAATCCACCACTGTCGTGTCTTTCTTCTGTTGCAACATGGGATGTTCATAAAAAAACAACATCTCTATTTATTACAATTTTCTTCGCTAATAGATCCCAGAATTTGAATCCTTTGACACCTTTCTTGTAACCTAGAAAAATGCACTCATTCGATTTTACATCAAGTTTGGATCTCTCATCAGCAGGTACATGTACATAAGCAACACACAACCAAAAATCCGTAAGTGATCAAAAGTAACATCATGACCAGTCCATACCTCTTCTGCAACTTTCCCATCCAATGATGCCCTTGGCGATCTATTGATAAGATAACACACCATGTTAACAGCCTCAGCCCAGAAATGTTTGGGAAGCCCCGCATTCAACCGCAAACATCTGGCTCTTTCATTTAACGACATGTTCATCCATTCTGCGACACTATTCTGTTGTGGTGTCTTGCA